TAGCACAATAACTACGTATTAAATAATTATGAATACATTCAATTCAAATGTAATACCTTTATTTTGTTTTTTGAGGTGTTTATTCTTGTCCTGAAGAACTTTGGTATTATTAAACAAAACATTGTGTAAGTACATTTATATGTATATACGTAACTGCTATCTAAAAAATTTGGCTAACAAAAAAAAAATTCCTCGTAAAGCTTTGGCATATGCTATTCCATAATCTAATCCTAAAGTTAATTGTCAGAAGCGTACGTAGCAAGAACTTAATGGGCTCACGTGATACCGAGCCAATCATATTATACTTTTCTTTCATTATTATAAACATCACCATTTGCATCTACAAAAGCAGAACCACTGTTTTCATAGTCAGGAGCATTTTGCGCCAAACGAGCCTAACAGATTAAAAAATAATAATGCAATACGTAATAAAAAAATTAATAATATATACCAACCAAATTTCAAAATTAGATGTAATAAAAAAACTATAACCAGAATTCTTAATATATTATACCTTTCTTTTATTATTACAAACATCACCGTTTGCATCTACAAAAGCAGAACCACCATTTCCATAGACAGGAGCATTTTGCGCCAAACGAGCCTAACAGATTAAAAAATAATAATGCAATACATAATAAGAAAATTGATAATACATACCAACTAAACTTCAAAATTAGATGTAATAAAAAAACCATAACCAGAATTCTTAATATATTATACCTTTCTTTCATTATTACAAACATTACCGTTTGCATCTACAAAAGCAGAACCACCGTTTTTATAGACAGGAGCATTTTGCGCCAAATGAGCCTAACAAATTAAAAAATAATAATGCAATATGTAATAAGAAAATTGATAATACATACCTACCAAACTTCAAAATTAGATGTAATAAAAAAACCATAACCAGAATTCTTAATATATTATATCTTTCTTTCATTATTACAAACATCACCGTTTGCATCTATAAAAGCAGAACCACCATTTCTATAGACAGAAGCATTTTGCGCCAAACAAGCCTAACAGGTTAAAAAATAATAATGCAATAATAAGAAAATTGATACGTAATACGTACCAACCAAACTTCCAAATTAGATGTAATAAAAAAACTATAATCAGAATTCTTAATATATTATACCTTTCTTTCATTATTATAAATATCACCATTTGCATCTACAAAAGCAGAACCACCATTTCCATAGACAGGAGCATTTTGCGCCAAACGAGCTTAACAGGTTTAAAAAATAATAATGCAAT